ACACACACACACACACACGTCACCCCTGCTCGCCATGCTCACCCTGAGAATGTCAGCGCATGTCGTGTCGCGCGTCACTTCGAGATCCGGCTCGAGCTCTCCTGTTGGTCCAATGACAGACACGCACGCCTCCACAGGCGGCACCTTTGTCGAGTTGGACACCCACCGCACCATCACGTCTGATGCGGGCTTGTTCGGCGCCTTGCTAAACAGGCCTGACTTGCGTTCCGTCAGCAGTCGCTTGAGGTCTTTTGGTTTGTTCGCTTTCCGTCCGCTCATCCGCGACTCGTTCACAAACCGAATCTGCCCGAGAATGTCCGCAGGCACCTGCAGAGGGTGCGTGCGTGCGTGTGTGTGTTCATGTGTGTGTGTGTGTGTGTGTTCATGTGTGTTCATGTGTGTGCGTGAGTGTATGTATGTGTGTGTTCATGTGTGTTCATGTGTGTGTGTTCATGTGTGTGTTCATGTGTGTGTGTGAACTTGAATTCTATTTGAGATACGACCTACATGTGCAATGATATCACTCACCATCGCCACCATCCCATCACCACTTCACCACAACCACCACCACCACCATGCACGCACCTCCCAGAGCTTGCGATGGTTCTCAAGCATGAGCTTGAGTGTCGACGCCGTTGTGACCTGGATCTCAACCTCCTTCAGCATCCGCTTGCCTTTGTGCCCGCGCACGTAGAACAGCGTCGGCGCAAACACAACTGACGGCCAGAGCACACGTGCACGAACATGTTTGGAGATGCGTGAGTGAGTGTGTGTGTGTGAATGTGTGTGTGTCTGAATGTGTGTGTCTGAATGTGTGTGTCTGAATGTGTGTGTGTGTGTGTGGGTGGGAGTCGCACAACATGGCCGTCATGCACACACGCACACACACGCACACACACGTACACACACACACACACACACATGCACGCATTTATACACGCGTGCAAAGAACAAACCAGTCGCAACTACAGCTAATCTTTCGTCCCCCCTCCAAAACCACCACATTATCACCGCACCTGCGAGGTTGCGCGTGCTCATCTTGTTCTCGTCCGCGTTCTCGCCGACTTTGACGAGAAAGGCAAGCAGGCGACGGAGGCACGCGCGGTGCACCTTTGGCAGGAGCATCACCAGCAGCTGCAGCCCGTACACCTGGTCCTTCAGGCGCTGCGTTAGGCTGAACGCCTCGATGTACGCGTCCGTCAGCAGCGGCTCGGGCGTCTCCCTGAAGGGAGGGGGGGCGGTTGGTGATGGTGAGCGTTGTTACGGTGGTGGTAGTGGTGGTGGTGGTTAGAACATCAGTGTGGGTTGAGAGAAGGCAACGTCGTTCATGTAC